AAGAAACTTGTAGAACATTTGAGGAATGTATCTGTATTGTGGTGGGTGCCAGGAGTACAGGTGGATCAAAACTCTCAAAAACCAAGTTGGTGATTGTAGTATTAAGGTCATCGACAATTTGCTGTGCCCTGGAAGCCATGTTCGAACTTATGGAGAGAAATTGTGCTAGAGAAAAATGAAATTACAGAGACAAATGAGAGCTTGTGAAAGAATATGGCAGTGAATACTCTGCTTTTGGCTAGAGAGCTGTAACAGAACTAACTAAATGTTTCCCTCCCAATTACGAATGCAAGAGAGAGAAGGGCATGGTTGTCTTTTACTCTCTTTTTTTATTTATTAAGGTGTGTTGAGGAAGTTTTGCTTTTTATTTCCGGTTATTTCTTTCTTTTTTATTTTTCATGGGATTTCTTCTTCTTTGGTAGAGAACGTCTATTCTTGTTTTTTTGTCTTTTTCTATTTCCCCTCATATCATTTATTGAAGATTGTATTAATTTGTTTTAAAGTTTGATGGTTATATTGGTCCTTCTTTAAAATATTTTCATGTTCAGTCTCACTTAATAAGTTATTGGAAGAATTGTGAGTCTCGGGGAATATTTGAAATTTTAATTGAAGCCATCATTAAGAAAACAAAATTTTGGGCTCAAATTAGTGGTGAAATGAAATTTATTGACGTGGCGACATGTTATTGGACCGTGAGGCGCTGACATCGTTAAAAAAACAATGTCATTTTAACCAACCTTCCTTGTGCTAAACTCTCAAAGTCCTTGAAGTTACTTTTCTTTTCTCCACACACATTGTTGGTGCACATGACAACACAATTTTTGTAAGAGCATTCATTCACTCACACTCGGTCATTTCAATGTTTACACTTTACTTTGTGCAATTCATCTGCTTTGAATTTGATAATATAATTTTTTTTTAAATTGAACTGGCAAGTTTAAGTGGGTTTGGTTCTTTTATGTGATTGCACATGAACTATTTCTATATTGGATTGGAAGAACGATTGATTGATATTTGCAAGGAACTTGAACTGCGGATTGCGTTCGACTTAAAATAAAGGTATATTAATAGGAATTTTGTTGGTTTTTGTAAGGCATTACAAACATGTTTGAGTTGAAATTAATCCTATTGAAAAACTAGAGTTCCTTGGAGGTCTTTATAAGATTTTTACTCTTAGAAATAAAATAGTTTGGATTGGACTTTTCAAGTGACCCAATTGATTGGCTTGTTTTATGAAAAAAGTGTGACTAGATAGAAGCGGCTTGTTTCAACTTAACTCATTATAAGATTTTTCTTTTTCAATTTTAGAGTGGAAGAAACATGATTTTGGGATTTGTAACCAGCTAAATGCTTGCTCAAATGAAATCAAGCCTATTAATTAACCGATTCTCCAATGCTGTTTATGCTATAAGTCACAAATTAAATTAGGGTATTTTAATATGTAATATTATGTTTGAAAAATAAGTGTGTTTTGAGTATGTTGACTTGAGATGGATCAGTGGAAGCTAGAGTTTCAAGCTTGTAATAGCACAAAGGAGAGGACTAGCAGGAACGTGTTTTTCAAGCTGTTAACTTATCTGCTAATCTAGGTTTTTTTTTGGTCAAATCTGCTAATCTAGGTTGATTGAAAAGTCTGGAAACTAATATTCAATGTCCAAACATGACTTACAATAATAAACTACATATAGGAAGTAGAGATTAGTAATTATTGGTCTCTCTCAGTTTATTATTATTATTTTATAGACAATATAATTTTTTTTTTAATACAAGCGATATTCTACTTTAAATTAACTTAAATTACGGGGAAAGTGATTCAAACTCAGGTGCAAAATGGGGAGTACATCAGCTCTAGCCAACTTAACTAAGTCCATGTCTGCAATAGAATTCATTAAGAAGAGAAAAAAAGTACAAAACAAGTCCACAGGAAAAACGAAAACTTAAGAAAATCTGAAAGAGGCCGAGGCTTTCGTCAAGATTTATATACAATATTGTTTTACTTTGGTCGCTCTACATATGTCTTGCCAAACAAGGAGCCAAGGGTATTCGAAACCCGGACTCCAGTCTTTATCTCCCAATCCACATTCGGTTCTAAAATAAGCATTTTCTTATTTAAAATTTGGGATCATTTGCTTTGGGGTGTACACATTTGTTGGATTAGATAACAGATTGTTATTTCTCCTTGTCAAGTACGTACCCTTTTTTGCAAATACAGAGCAAAAACACTTGAAATTCTTTGAAGGAATTACAATTACTAGGTCACGAAAAACACACAATCCCATTAATATATAATCCCAGCTGAAGCGAGCAGTTACATTGTTATCACCCAAAAGACTCCTAAAGAAGACAAAATTTTCTTCATGGTTAAAATAATTCAAGGCAAATCTAGTTTCAAATATGCAAATTGCTGACAACTTGAAGGTTTACCTTCCAAATTTCAAACGCATGAACTGCAACTATGCCATGGTCAATTGCTGTTTACCTTGCACCAGGTTATCCTACATGAAATGGAATGGTCCAGGTAATGTGGTTCCACATGACTCCGAAGCCTCGGAATTCACACAACGGGTTAGCGAAAAGAAAATGAAAAGTGCAACCAGGCTTTGAGGCTTTTGGAGACACCTGAATCTCCTTTCTGCACCGCCGTAATATGGTTCGATCATTATCTCAAATCTGCAAGATCCAACTGATGGGTTTGTTTTGGTGATCATCAAAAGGTTTGGAAATTTGCAAGCTACATCAAGTTGATTGTTCCTCTGGTAGTAACTATTAACAGTAAGTATGTACCCCCTCTAATGTAACAAGCAGCAGCTTTGGAGGAAATCAAATCAAATAAACTAAAAACTGCCAAAATACGTGCATGATTTGAGCAAAGACCCCAAAAATCCATGTTTCCAGATTCTTGCAAGATTTGCCAAAATTCCTACAATAATTTATTAGAAAACAAAAATTTCCCCTTTCGAGAATCTAGTGCACATTAGTAGAAACAAAAATCCGAAAAAGAAACAAGACGGTATTTACTTATTTAGTGATCAAAACAATAGTGATGATATTAGTGGAGAGGGGCTAACTAGAAAAGGACTGCTATTCTGATAACTAGAAATTATCAGATACTTAATTTAATTAGCACTATATTAGTTTATAATTAACTAAATTAATCGAATTATCTGCAATTTAGAGTTTGAGAGCGTGGTATGTTGAATTCCAGGTGACGTTGCAGCCTAATAGGGCTAAGGCTCCACGTCACCAGCAACGGCTCATTGCTTGTCTTATTATTGTAGGTTCGTGTTACACTGTTACACACATGGGCATGGATCATAATTATCATGTATTTATTTTTAAATATAAAATCTTGCTGTAGTTGAGATTAAGATGGGTGATCGATTTTCTTACTCTCTTTCTTTTTCTCTTATCATCGTGGATTTATATATATATATTTTCCTTTTTTCTTGTTGTATACTAAAAAACAAAAATAGGGTAGGGCGGCAATTGTGTGAGGATGTGAAGAAATGTCCCTCGTTGAAAGTTAAGAAATCTTGTAAGGGTTTATAAGGAGTTGGGTCATCCCTTCCATTGCAAATTAGTTTGAACATGCGTGAAAGCCAAAGACAACACATATCCATGTCACCCTGACTTATGAGGAGTTGGGCCACTTGCTCGTTAATGAGATTAAAAACATGATTTACATTTTTGCAATAAAATCTTCCTTTGAAAAATGGGTGAGAATTCTTGCATGTTCTGACATGCATTATTTAGACTTTTTATTTGAGTTTGTATTACGGATTCGAAATTTTCTTATTATATATAACACTACCATTTATCTTATTACAGAACTCCTATCTCACTCACTTGTGAAAAAAACACACACACACACACAAACATACGTAAAGCATAATAGAAGTCCAAATTAACTACATCAAAGCAATATAAACCAAGATTTTATTGGGCATCCAAAATAATTTATGTATTAAAAAATTTAGAATATTCCTTTATATTCCCAAGTTCGGATTCCCTTGTTTGTAAATTAGAATAGCTCAAAATGTGACACAATTCTACTAAACCTAACTTTACATGAAGATGTTTGTATGTGTGTACATGTGGGAGCATCTCCAAACCAAAGTATGAGGTAAATGTGTGTTATTGATAACCTATGTGACACTTTACCTCAAATATTTGCCTCATCAAAAGCTTGTCGCTCCAAGAATGAGGCAAATGTTTGATGAAAATGTATCTTTTGATAACCTATATATGAGTCAAATAGTTAGAGGAATTATATGTATACGACACAAAGAATAAAAGGCCCTTTACTAATATAAAATTCAAGTGAGTCCAAAATTCCTCACATTTTCCTCTTTACTTATCACTAGGGAAGGCAATTTTGCCTTACTTCCCACCTCATTCATTGAAGAAGATACCTCACTCATTGAGGTTGCTTTAACTCAACTACCATGTCAAGGCATCCACTTTGCTATGTCACTAATTGCTTTAACAAAGTGCCCATTTTAGAGTCGATTTAGGCTATGTGACCCTTTTTAAAAGAGTTGACATAGAAGAATAAAAAATTTAAGCTATTTTTAACACATTAAAGATTTGGCATACTTCTCTTCTAATTTGAAAATATAATGATTCAAAGGCCACTCAAATAATACTCGAACCTCACAACTGAAATTGCTTTAAAAAGAAGCTGAACGTTTTTTAAAGGGCCAAAATTTGACTATTTTTTCAGAATTTGAGGCCAGCACTTCAAGGGAAGAAAAGGGAAGGTGACGGGGCACATTGACCAAAAGGCCCTGACCAGGAAGTTTGGTTTTTCCATATCATTGGCGCGAAAACTTCAAAGTGGTTGTTTTTATTTGTTTATTAATTTGTTAAAACCTTCCCAAACTTTTTGGTTACATAGGGGGGTTTCGAACCCGGGTGCCAGTTGGGGGGAGGGAGGAAAGATGCTGCCAAACCACCGCAGCTAAACCCCATTGGCAAAACCTTCCAAAACTTCAAAGCGCGAACACAGCAGAAAACAGAAAGTTTGCTTATCAGAGATTGGAGCATTGAAATGAGCTCAAAGAAAACTCCGCCAAGGTTTAGGGCTGTAGGGCAGCGGTCACTTCCTTCATTATTCTCGTCTTGCTCAAAAAAGTAGTAAGCGGAAAAAAAACAAAAACCCATATTATATTTTTTGTAATAAATCTTCTATCTGTCGTGTTTTTTTTTTTTTTTGCGCGTGAAATCAGTGTCAAGGCTGTAGAAGAATATCCAGATGGTGGCTCGCATGTGCCCCTCTCGGAACGGAAGCCTCACCAGACTTCTGGAAAACCCACGGCAGTAAAGGTACCCTTACGTTTATTGGTTGTTGAGAAAATGGTGAGGGGAAAAGAAGACCATCAAATATTGGGTTTTATGGTGTCTGTTAAATTGTATAAATAAATAAAAAAACCGAAGGGGCGATTTCTTTCTATTAATTGAAACTTGTTGCCTACATTTACACATGTGAATCAATAGTTTAAGGAAAAATTGTAACTTTAAAAGAACTATAAGAAATTGGATGGAGATACTGGAAGAGTTGGGTCTGTGCTTGATATTTGTAATCATCTCATTATCAGCAGAAATTAGAACTTTGATATTGTGAAGAACAAATATTGCAGTGCAGAGTTTTCTCTAACAGTAATTATATATATATATATATATAAATAATGGACTGTCATAAATTGGTGACAAAAATTTCTAGGAAGATTCAAGATTAATGAGAAAAGTTTTTAAGTGAAGTAGAAACATAAAAGATGGACAAATGGGCTGAAGACATCATGCTTTAGCATATACACCACAATATATTACATTTGATTTTTTATTTTCCATCAGTAAGACTCGAGGTATAAATTTTTTATTGAGTAAAATCAACTGAAGCCACCTTTATATTCCAGTTAAAACTTTTTTTCTTACTCGATCAACCTATGTCCTTGGTTTCTAACCGACCACACCTTGCCCTTCTCTTTTTAATTAGCTGGGGTTGACAAGCGCATTGCAAGAAAGCATTTCACAATGCTTGGAGGTGATTCAGAACCCAGCCAGACAAGAAGGAATGAGAGTTTTATAAGCAAGGAGAAACCAGGACCTGTTTATAACTACAGTTTTAGTATGCTATATCTTGACTCAGAAATGGTGTTAACAGTTATTATTTCATGTTTCTCTGTGAAGCACAGTTTTCTTTTTCCTTTGTATTATGTCTTGAGATGTGTAGTTTTCATTGTTATTTGCCATACACCACAACTATACATATCATGTTCTAGTTGCTTTCTACTTATTTAGCATATACACCACAAATGTAGAATATACATCGAATTTGGTTGTTTGATTTAGAAGCAAGATTTGAGATGTTAAAAGTTTGTCTAGGAAGATCATGTGTAGCCACCTTTATGTTCCAGCTAAAACTTTCTAGTTTTCCTACGCAACCAACTTATGTCTTTGGTTTCTAAATCTGACCTACCAACCCGCCTTTCTCTTTCAAATAGGCGGCGGTGGCAAACACTCTGTAAGAAAACATTTCACAGTGCTTGGAGGTGATCCAAAACCAAAACCACAAGACTACCAGAAAAGGAAAAGGAATGAGAGTTTTGTGAGCAAGGAGAAAGCAGGACCTGCTTATAATCACTGTTAGTATGCTAGATCTTGAATCAGAAGTTATCTTTTCATGTTTCTCTGTGAAGCACAGTTTTTCTCCTTTTATGTTTTGTCTCTTGAGGTTGAGGTGTGTAAGGTTGTTATTGTTGTTTAGTAATTTTGGTTCCTGATTTGTGATAGCAGATGCAAATGGGTGTGGCTGGTGGGACTGCGACAGGGAAGGCATTGACAATGAAGAAGTAGGCCTTAATGAGGTATGGGAAGTAGTGGGCTGTACCACATTGGGAGGAATAGAATGGCATTGATATTTGGCTCTAGATATCATATCTTAATGATAATAGAAAACTTGTGTATAATACTTTGTCATTTCTTTCCCATCCCAGTTCCCACCCCATTTAGTGATGTCTTGTGTAATTTAAGGTTTATATATTGTATTGTTTTAACTTTTAGCATGAGGATATCTTTTTAGCAAGCTGGCTGGCTGTTGTTATTGACTGAACATCTTCAAGACCATCAAAATCCCCTTAAATATGGACATATGACTAATGAATCTTTTAGTATAAAGGAAATTAGATCTTAAGTTATCAAAATTTGTTGAATTTAATGGCAAGACAACCTGATGTTGCATCACCATTAATGCGTACAGAGACATCAAATTTTTTTAAAACAGTAGTGTAATTGAGACGTAGGGTAATAATAATGAGTTTCCAATTTAGTTTTTACTCTGATAGCTTTTTTGTTTTTTTATGCTCAGAATCTCTTTTCTCAATACCTTACAAATCTCAAGAAACCCAGCTTGAGAAGCCTAGCCTTGTTCATACATTCTTGAAGTTAGTTGAAGGTGCCTGCCTGCCTTCCTGCCTCATCCATCCCACAATCTCTTGTTCTGCAACGCACTAGTACTAGTAACAAACCAGGCGAGCTTTGAATTTGGGAGTAAGACTAGGAGCAAGCAATTTCTTATTTTCTTTTGCCAGATTTTGATAGATTCATCATTTCTGGTGTATTGGATTTGGAAGAGTTTGGTTTTAGTTTTAGGTTTGGTTTAGGGTCAGCCAAGTGATATGGAGGAAGATGAGAAAGAAATTATAGTTTTAGTTTTAGAGTTTGGTTTAGGATAAACTTTATTAGGAAAAAGGGGCACCAAACCAGTGTGCCATTTGTCCACGGGCATAGGAACAACAAGTGCTCGGCTGATTCAACCTGCTGAAGACATCGAGGGCAAGTGGGGGAGTCCAAAATTATAGGGGGAATGCACAATGTATGATTTTCTCGCAAATCATATTTTATTGTAGCTGTAAATTATCGTTAATTGAGAAAGAAATTAGAAACACAACTTGACACTTCATGAGGCATGACTTGAAGGAATTGAAACCAAATCCTAGGAAGAAAAACATTTCCATTAACCAATCCACTACTGCTAAAGACAACAAACATAATCTGCTAAATCACCCAAGGCCATTAACCATACAAATTGACTGCGACACTTGAAGGAAAAAAAAAAGAGTGTCTTAGAACAATGAGCAACGATGCAGCTATACTAGTGTTAACAAAAACAAAGCAAGCGAAACCTTGAAATAGAAGAAGATAAAGCGGTGCTTAAATATGAGTCCATTTTCATTAGGATGTAATGGATGCTACCAAGGATTTGGGGTGAGCCATATGGCTCGTTGCCTTAATAAATTTATACATGTATAGATGCTGTATATTAGATCCCTATTAAACAGATCATTAGTGTCAACGTTGATGGTGTCACTGAATTCCATGCATTTCTGGAATAGAAACAATATCCGATCACGAAATCCGACAATCTCTACCCATCGAGGAGGAGGTGGAGGACGACCATTATTAGCAGCAGCATTATTATTGAATGCCAGCTTGAAAACTTGAAATTCTTCAGCATAATCATGTGGACATAGCAACAGCTTCTCCTCTAGAAAGTTGTCTGGAAAAGTAATCATAAGCAACTCCGTTGATGCAAAGACATCTTTTGCAAGGAAAAGACGACTCTTGTTTATCCTAAATATATGCTCGAACCTCACACGATCTGGCCCGGAGTCGTCAAGCACAACCAACCTTTCAGCCCTGTATTGGATTTGCTGCTGCTGATCATCAAGATTATGTGTGTCAAACTGAAATACTATTAAAGACTCCGACGGGTTGTTGGTTGCAGCATATAGCTTCCCATCGATGAACTCTATATCTTCAAAGCTGAGGCCCTCATCAATTCGGGTCCATGATTTATCAGTGGGTCTACAGACCGACAGATTCGTTCTTTCAACATTCGTGGAAAGGCAAGCCACAAAAAGAGATGATGGACATGTTGTGGTTGGTACCGAGGAGGCTACAACTTTACTGATGAAGGAGCAGTGACCTCATGTTTGCTGCTGTTGCTGTTGCTATTGCTGCTGTCTGTCAGTGTCACCCATTTCTTCCTAATAATTTTCTGCGTATCACCCATTTCTTCCTATTGATGCTGCTGTTGCGGATTCTGCTTATACCAGAATTAAAACAAAAATCAATCAAAATCATCAAATTACCAAAATTCATGATGTCTTTATTTAAACATATTATGTATTTACTGAACTCAAGGAACAAGTTTCTGAAACCTGATTCCTACCCAAGTAAGTGCTTCATATAATTTGGCCGTAGACACACACTACCTAATCAACTTGGGCTTCATAATCCAATCAATACAAGTAGCATATCTAATAGAATTTAGGAGAACAAGTTATGCCAAGAATTAATCATAAGGCTCACCCCAAACATTTTCAAGCCAGGAAACAACACACATATATAAAATCAATTTTAAAAATTACATAATTCATGGTTCAAATCCAAACTAGAAATTATAATTGTAGCAAATAAAATTATGTCCAGACTTGCAGATGAAAAAAAGGTTATAAAAATAAAATAACTTAACTGTCCCAGAAGACTGTAATTCGAGCGAACAGATCCAATTCAGAAATGCGTATCTTGTAGCTAATGTTGCCCTGTGACCTTTAATTCTCTTATAGTGTTCTTGTGGGATTAGGATTCCAGTTAAGTTCAGGATATCAACACAGTCGAATAAAGTGGGGCAAATTTTCAAATATGTATGCAATCTAAAGAAATACAAAGATGTGTTAACTCTAATAACATAGAATATAAATCTAAATTACAATAGGAAATAAATTTCAATTACAATATGACTAAATAAAGGTAAGTAATCAAAATCCTAACATAACCAAAATTCTAACTAAATAAGGACTCGCATTTTTCAACTGTACCACGGCGAAATCAAATCAAAGTCAATCTAATCACTTGATTGTCTTCTACGCCAAGTAACCCTCATAAAAAACCCGTTAAATCTAGGAAATCATCATATAATAATGATTCCTTGAATATTTACCATAAATTGGCCAGAATATTTAGTCAATGTTAAAAGCCCAAGTCATGAATTGGCCCAATATGTCATTAATCTCGGCTGTGCGAAAACCAGGCCCAAGCACTAATGTTGCATTGCAATTTTTTTTTTTTGGTCATAAATTGGCCCAATATGTCATTAATCTCGGCTGTGCGAAAACCAGGCCCAAGCACTAATGTTGCATTGCAATTTGCATCACTACCATCAAGATTTGCTGCAACTGTGTAATTGAGTTGTAAGAGCATCCACAGTGGGGGGTGTATGTTAAATATACACTCCGAGTCACCAGAATGGTCTCCAATGGTGAGATGTAAATGGATGTAAATATATATCACCATCATGGGGATGTAAAATAAAATGTGTATTTACATTCATTTTTACATCCCTTGTAGGAGGGACCCACCCGAGAAAAGAGAAGAAAAATGAAGAAAAGTCAACATAAAAGGCTGGAACTCACGGCTACACCCCCGAATTTACACCCCCTCATTGGAGCAAAAAACATATTTACACCCCCGGAGGTGTAAAAGGGATGTAAAAGTGGCTTTACACCCCCGAATTTACACCCCCCACTATGGATGCTCTAAGGTAGTAATGAGTTTCCAATTTAGTTTTTACTACAATAATTTCTTTGTATTTTAAAAGAAAAATGTTTTGAGGCCAAAAGAGAAGTTTCATTTTCAGAAAAAAAGAAAAGAAAAGAAACAAGGGAACAAAATGTGGGCAATTCCTGTCAATCGAGGGGCAGCAAACTCATAAAAGAAAGAAAGACAATTGTTCAGACCCCAAAAAAAAAACAGAAAAAGAAAAAAAAGACAGTTGCTCTCACAGAACAGAAAAAAGAAAATACTGTTTTAAAATAAAAGTCACACAAGTAACCAACGAAAAATTGGGTCGATGAAAAACCAACCCAATCAATAAAGGGTAAAAATCCCAATATCGATGATCCATCTCCCCCACAGTTTGACGAGCAATTCTGTTGTTAGTTGAAGGTGCCTGCCTGCCTGCCTGCCTTGCCTCATCATCCATTTCAGAATCTCTTCTTCTGCAGCGCACTAGTAGTAGAAACCAACCAACCAACCAACCAACCAGCCAGCCAAACCCACCAAAAATTTAAACAGAAAACGCAAGCTTTGGATTTGGGTAAGAGCAGCAAGCAATTCCTTATTGGATTTGGAAGATTTTAGTTTTGGGTTTAGGGTGATCCAATCCAAGTGATATGGAGGAAGATGAGATGGATTCGCTGTTTGAGGGGATGGTATTGTTTACCCCCAACAACAGTACCAATAAATCCGAATTGGATTTGGAGACACACAATCGCCATGATCTTGTTAATAATCAGCCTCAACAACTACCTCTGCAACAACAACATGATTATGCTCAAGATCCGGCCGCCGTTGAATCTCACCAACCACCATCTTCATCCTCCTCTGAGCCCCTCGACGAAAACCTCTTCTCCGACCTCACACTCCAAGTCCAAACCCCAACCCAAACCCAAGAAGAAGATGTTGTCCAAATCCCAATCTCAAAACCAGCACCAACAATATCCAGACACAACTCCACTTCCAGACGAAAAAAGAGAGCTGCTGGCCTCCGCATCGGATACGCCCGATCCAATTCCAATTCCAAGGTCGACGATGATGTCGATGATGTCTATGTAGATGATGACAATTCCCTTCCCTTGCCCCCCACCACAACCTCCATCAGCAGCACCCCAGTGGGTCCCACCACTCTACCATCAGTATCAGTAGAAGAACAAGTAGTGGTAGTAAATGACCAAGTAGAAGCCCCTCCCGAGCTCCGGTTGGATCAGAGCAAGGCCCTGATCGCCGACAAGCTCAACCGTACTCGCCAATCAGCCGCATCCGTCTCTGTTTCTAGGAAGGACGCCATTGCTAGGAGAAGGGCTGCCGCTGATCATCTCAATTTGGCTTCCCTAGAATACGCCAATCTCGAGAAGCAGCTCGAAGAGGCCTGCGAGGCGGAGGATTTCGACACTGCCCAAAGGCTTAGTGACAGCCTTGCTGCTGCTCAAAACCAGAAACAGGCTCTCCTTGATGCACTCAGAGATGCTGAGGCCAATTGCGATGCTCTTGACTCCAAAATGCACCACCTTCTCCAATCCCAGATCGCCGCCGAGGAAGAATGCGCCTCCCTGCTTCAACGCTTTGCAACCGTGAGTACCCCCACCTCCACATTTTAATTACTACTATTGTTTCATATATAGCATTCACTATAACTTTATAGACAGAGTACTGAAAATGGAGATAAATGGAATGAGTGACAATTATGACATGAGTAGCTGCAAGTAATCCTTAATGAGTAATATGATTGTTGGTTGGTTCAATATCACAGGATGCTTCGAATGATGCAGATTTGGTCTTGCAAACAGCAGAAGCACGCTCTTCAAAAGAAACCGACGAATGGCTTTCGTCAACTGAAGCCTTGCAAGCCAAGAAAATGGAATTGGAGATTGAATCCCATATTATCCATGATGCTGGGCTTTCCTTGAACACTTCCATTGACACTTTAGTGGAAGATGACAAGCTAGAGAAAGAATGTCTCTGTAAGAAAAAGGACATTCTCATGGACGAACTGGACAAGCTACTTGCTTTGGTCAAACGCAAGGAACAGGAGATTGCACAAAATGATCATGACATAAAACAAGTTGAGGAAAGGATTGATCGTGCTCTCTCTGACTTCCAGGACATGCAATCCAGCATTCAGGCCAAGTCTAGCGACTTGCAAGCAGGCCTTTCTCAGATACATGCAGAGAGCGAGGCTCTCTCAACAAAAAAGACGGAAATCAATGCCTTCCTCACTCAGGAACAAGAGAGGGAAGCAAAGTTGAGGGAACTGGCTAGGGCTTCTGCAGAGGAAGCAGAGACATATCAGCAAGTTGCTACCCTTAGAAAAACTCTCATGTCCTCTATTTTGAAGTCCAGGGAAGATAAGGTCAGGCTTGCAAAGACTGAGGAGGATCTTTCCAAGGATGTTCAAACGCTCCAACAAGATGTATCTGCCTCAAGAGCTACATTACAGGAACTGTCTTCCAAAAAGTCAAGCATTCAGCAAGATATAGCAACCTCTAAGCAGAAAATTCTTTTCATAGACAAAAGAGTCCCAGAGCTCGAAGCAGAAAAGAAAGTCGCAGCCACTGCAAGAAACTTTAAGGAAGCTGCACGGCTAGCTGCCGAGGCCAAGTCACTGAATGTTGAAAAGGATGGCATACAGATTGACATGGAAAGAGCCATCTTAGAGCTTGAGAAGCTCGAGCAAGAGATAAAAGAGACTGTTAACAGATTGCAGGAGACTGAGGGGCATATTCAATCCAAGGAAAAAGAGGTAGCAACGGCTAGGTTTGAGAGGTTGCTTCTGATATCTGGTATTGCTAAAGCAGAACGAGAAGCTGCTCTGGAGTTGGGCGACCTTGAAGAAGCAAACCTTCTGCTTGCAGAGGCTGAAGCAGCAGATTCTGAAGCAAAAAAGCTTCAACCGATATACGATCTCAAGTTGGAAGAGGTTGAGAGTCTACCAAAGCACTTCATCTCCATGGAGCTTATATCCAATCTTGGGAGGAAACAGTTAGAAGAATTGGCAGCATCAGTTCAACCTTCTCAGGAATGACAATTTGTGGACCTGGACCGGTGGAGCAGTGAAATTGTTGATGATGTTTTTGGGAGATTGGGAATCACAAGTTCACAGAGAGTTCTGATATTTGATAGCTATGAGAAGCGGGAACAATTTAAGAACTGCTTTTGATTGGGCGTTAAAAAGAGAAGAAAAGAAAGTAATTGTACTTCATGTACGGTTGCTGGAAGAGATAAATTAGATTAGGAAATTGAATTTTCATTTTTTATTTTTTAGTTTTTTGCGTTTGAATATGTTTGAGCATATTCTTTTCTTTTCAAGCTTATTCTGGTAGTTTTTGTATCAAGTTCTATATTACATTTTTTTGCCATTACAGAATCGGGTGATATGGTCTTGTATTTTGTTTCTTTTTCTTCATTTTTATGTTGTTAGTACACCAAGGGAGTCTTTACTTTTCTTCGATATAATAGTCTCTGTTAATTGATGACTACTTTCCCTACTGCCTATCTCCTGAAACTCTTCCTCTCCAGAGACTGCCGCTCCATCTATTTCTTTCTATGGATCTATAGGTTTTTCATATTCTGGGATTAAAACTTTGAACCATGTTTCTTGTAAATTGCTTTCTGAATTTTATTGTGTATCTTAGTAATTTAAGATGACACTAACCACTGGTTGTAAATTATTATTTTTAACATTTCATTGCTTACTGAAAATATTGTGTGTACGTCTAGTTATTCGATCAAAGGTAGATAACTAGATGCATTTCTATTTGACTGAAATTTTGCGAGGATGATCTAATGAAAGGTTCTAGTTATGAAATACATTGCTAAGACAGCTAAGTTCACATTATCCAAAATCTATATAATTCGAAACCTTTTAACTTTTGCCCCTTCCACACAAATTAGGCAATTACTTGCTACATGAATCTGGACCCTGGAAAGATTAAGACGGGAAAATAAATTGATGGAGGTTCAGTTGCAAGAGAAGTGATCATCATTCCCAAAGCAACCCACACATGTCCTGCAAATGAGAATCTTGACATGGAGAAATTGGATATCTCCGAACCCAACATTTCTTTTCTTTCGTTTTCTTAGATGAACTAAAAGTTTGTGACAACATATATCCACATATATGATTTCTATACAGACATGTATATCCAGCATAACCTTTCTATACTACACATACATGAACAACTGAAGGAAGGCAAACTAACATCTCCTCCGGCCTTCCGGTAGTACTATCTTTGTATATCCTGATTTTCTTGCCTAGAGGGTTCAGCATAAACTTGTCTTTGGTCTCTCACATCTCTGAACATAGAAAGAAAAGAGTTGAGGCCTTCAGATGAAGCCCCTCCTAAGATCCATAACAAAAGTGAACTGAATGGATTCATAGCACCGGGGTTAGGACCATTCTCTGCTTCACTCAGGTCAGCTTGGCCTGGAACCTGAGGGTTTCCCACCCGGTCTGGGTTGTCATTACCTGACTGTTCTTGCAGCCCAGGAACTTCTGCTCCATTTGATGGCACTGCTGGATTGGGTCCAGATCTCAGCCCAGGTCCAGAGGCCAAGTCAGAATTAACCAGGCCAGGATTTCTTGTGTTCAATCTTGTAATATGTAAAGTTGAGGCAAGGAATGTTGATGAAGTAATGTGGAAATCTGGGTGTTGCTGGAGCTGTGATCGTCGATTTTGGATAAACCTTTGTAGAGTTGGCACCTGTACCAAGAACATAACTGTTCAAACATCGATTCATTAAGGTAATTACAGATCACTGCAATAACATAAAGACACTCGAACATGCCATAAATCATCTTATTCTATATCTGTAGCAGCTCCTATGGTCTCCTACCAAACTAGGAAAATACAAAAAGGCTAGTAGTTTCAACAGTCTCAACAGTAAAAGTTTGATGACAGCGGTACAGCATACAACATCAAGCAGTGAATGACTTCCCCTAATAAAATATACAGGGTTTTTTAGTTGCTCCCAGCTTCAAGATGGAGGACCTCTTTTTCTTTCCAAAAATTTATTTCCAATAACTAATTTCTCTATCCACAGCGTTTTTTTTCATTGCTTTCAGATAAGCTTTTATTGCCAAATTTTAGTTTTACATAATGAAATCTTGTGGTTTTTTTATCAATGAATAACAAGAATGTAAACATAGCTATTTAGACCTTTTTACCCTTTTTTCTTTCTATAAATTTGTTTCAATATGTTCTTATAGTGGGAAACATGTTCACAAGATATAATTACTTATTGCCTAAAACAACCAATAGAGAAAAGAACATGAAATCTGAACATCTTCCACCGGCGTGAAATTGAAAGCCAAATGAAACTACCACTGTTTTATCATAAGCAACCAAACTTTGCAAAAGAAAAGGTGCCATTAAAAACTAATATAATCATCTATACAATAAACCAGGCCCAAAAGGGAAAAAACTACACAGCAGGGTTACCTCAAAACGGTTCCAGAAGTATAGAATGAGATGCTGCATAAACGCTGCGGCTGTAGAAAGAGCCAAATAAGAAAAACCTGCAACGGTTTGAAGGTAGGTTTTCAGAAACAAAAACAAAAAAAGTTTCCCTATACCAGTAAAGTAAGAAGTAGTGACATACCATAAGCATAGGAAAAGAAATAGATGTGGAAAACCAGAAAGTAGAGCAAAAAGAAGCGGGGAAAGAACTTCATCGATATGGGTGTGCGGACACTGCAAGAAAGACAATCAAATGAAAAGAGCATGACACAAACTAGAAATGTGGCAAAATAGGGTACACCTAATGCAGGGAAAATTTGCCTCTCATTGTTATACCAGGTGCCAAAATCTATGAATTGAGCCATAATCCTTTGCTAAGAGCATATCTTAAGCCAATTAATCAGCCAACTCAAAATATCAAAGCCTGTGATCCAGGCACCCTACCGCAGAGATCACTGGACTAGCTCCATATCAGCTTACCACTGACTGTCAATTAGTACCCAACCCAGCCTCAAAACTATATCCATTTTAAGCCTGGAGCTACATAAACTCTATGCCCAAACCAGATTCTAAACAGAGTGAATGACTTTTTACATGAAAAGTAGCCATTATGAAAGAGTATGTACACCGGCACCCAATCATTTGCCACATATTTAAAATCAAAGTGGGAGAGAGAGAGAAACCTGATTAGCGTAAATAGTTCACTCAACCAGACAAGTATTAGGACCATGAAAGCCAATAGCTGATCGTCATAAAACTCAAACAGAAAAAATAATATACCGATCATAATCTGCAGAACCAAAAAGGGTTTTGGCATGAAAAATTGGAAGTACCAATAAATAACTAAAAATTCCAATAATCCTTGATTCAGTATGTATATTGTATTGATGGTGAACCAAAAAGATGTGTTCTTACCGGCACAAAGACAAGTGATTCAATTACATGCACAAAAATCAACTGGAATGTCGGAAGCTGATGACGAGCATGGTGTTGAAGCTGCACTGCAATAATTTGACAAAAGTAAGCACCCAAATATAGAGGGGGGATAAGGAGGACACATGACAAACGGGGAAACCCAAATATGCTGCCACCTCACTCCATTCATACCAAATGATACTCATCAAACCAGGCAAACAAAATGGATAATGTTTTGGGTACCAAACTCTAAATTTCATAGTTCCACAAGGATAAATGCTATTTCTCAAGTTAAAATAATAAAAAATAGTTAAGAGTTCACATACATCATTTCATTGGCTTAAGGACTCAAGAACACATTAATGGAGGCATGTACCATGACAGAGCTGCTTTATCCAGAATATACATAATAAAATAACACAAACCTGTGAACTTCAGCATGCGAGTCTGTGTTTCTCTCAATGTGAATGACACAGACATGGTGGTTGTAAAGAACACAAAGAGTGACATCATAAGCACACCACACTTTGTCACGAGGTAGTCTGCATGGAAACCAAATGAAACCAAATGAAACCAGAATTTTTCTGAGCATAATGCACATAAATTGCAAGGGTGAAATAAGTCTTAAGACCCTTTGTTCATAAATAATTAAAATAAGTCTTAATCCATAAAACATGTTATAAGATCCTTATTCTTTATGGTGCACATGTCATTATTTTAGATACCCAAATTGAACATTTTTTTGTAAAACTGAAAGCATCACAGTTTAAAATACATAACACACATTCCACATGTTCACCTTTTACAAAATTTGTCTTTTCGGAAAGCAGAAGTCAATATCTAAAGTCCTAAAACCCAACCACCCAATCAATTATGAAAAAGAAAATAATGTGACTGTTATACAGCTGCCTTAACCAAACCACCCAAAGTCCCGTCGCCACACAGCAAATCTATGCCATCTCATTTCCATTTTCCACAAAGTCCAAACCCTTTTCGCAACTCTCCTATGGCTCACAAACCTAACCCCATTGCACCAATTAATCTCAAAGTCATTATTCCAGAAGATATTTACAGACTTATTCTCCACTATGTCAGACTCACAAGTACATTAAACTACAAGCATTTTAGTTACAGATAGATGAATATACACATTGAGTACTGTTGTACCAACTAGCTCGTGGTCTAGTGGTACTTTTCTTCCCAAAATTGGAAGAAGTAAAAAGTTCAATTCCCTGTCCCTGATTAATAAAAAATAAAAAATAAAATAAAGTATTGTTCCAATGTTCCCATAGGCGCAAACAGTAAAATAAGTAGGCTTGTGTAGTATATTAATGGAACCTGCTTGTTATGTATTCTTCCTTTATATATTTGTGGAACAGATGCATTTTTTTTATTTATGAAAGAACAGATGCACTTTTTTACACAAGTTTATATTCATCATGTATTTTGTTTTATAGACAAATGACCTCACCAACTGCTTTTCAAAAATACAAATTTCACAAAAAAGGGACATGTAGAAGGAAAGATGTGGCAACTTTATGATTGTTTGTGAAAAGTGAACGGCATGTTAGTAATACTGTTGTTTTTTGGGTATTAACACACAATGTTCTATTTTTCTATTTTGACTGCATTTAAACGTTTGGGTGTCATACTCTCTTTAACTAATACAATTTGATTTCCAGGGACCAAGTTCTCAATTTCATTTAATTTATCAACAAAAAGTCAAAATTCTACAACGTTACTTGACCCAAGATTGGTCCAAGATGAAAATTTATGTAGAGTATCTCAAGAAAAAAATTATTAATTTATAAGTTCATTTACAAATGGCTCCTTAAGTATTCACAGCCTGGGCCAAAAGTTAAAAGTTGATTTAACACAGCCAACGCTAGAATCTTTGAGGAAAGGGCTGAGGGGAGGTGATAGAATGCTAGAACCTTAAAGCAATTATCTTCCACAGCAGTGGTTGATCAATTATCATCAACCAGTGGAAAAGATAAATAAATAAATAAACAGTAACGCCAGAAATTAGCCTGTTTGCTTAATACTCTAACCATGCAACTTTTCATCTTAAAGTTGTTGGTAGACAAATATGGGGGGGACCTCATGCTTCTACCTCAATATCAAGTTTACAAGTGAGATGCGTAATGAAATTGCACAAGTAGATATTGAAACCACATTGCATTAGAGGCAGCACAAGAATGGAAATCGAAGGCATAAGTCAACAAACCTCCAAACCTTGCAGGACCTTTTGGGGGTTCTTGTGCATAACTAAGATTAAAGAACTCCTTTGTCTGAAAATTATAAAGATAACCTGGAATGGGTGGCATAACAAGCTTAGCCACAACAGGATAATTAATAAAAATCAAACTATGAAAGTAAACCATGAGCTAAACCAAACTCAAAATAACAGATTCTGAACAATCAAAGTTAGAATGAAACAGGTAAGTTTAGAATTGACTGTGTTGGAATTAGCCCAATCATGCCCTGGCAAAGCATGAGTCTTTAATCGTGCCTTAATTGCACGTGTCCGTGATTTGACATGGGCCCATGTGGGGGCTTTACTTTTTTTCATGTTGTTTATTTTTGCTTAGTCAAACTTGGACATTAACTATTAAGGTGAACAATAATTGGGTTGTTTTGTTTCAAGAATTGAGTAATGAAGACAAAACACACGATATCAAATCAGCAACATCACCAAAAACTAATTATTTTATTTATTTCAATGATAAAAATAATTATTATTATTATAAACCAACAGTTTTAAGAGAGTTGGTTTAAGCAACAGTCAATTTCATTTGGTTGTTGCACAGGGGTCCTTTTTCATTAATGCGACATTAGGAATACAAGATATAGGGAAAAATAAAGGGGCAAAAACCTGGTAATTTACCTTGTCCAGGAGAACTCAATAAACTATTAATTAAAATAGTATCATATCCAACAAATCTGTTAATAAGCAGTTGCTGCCACCTGGTAATTTCATGTAAATACACAACAATTAGAACACCTGCTAGTATGCAACAACTCCCATACGCATCTTAACTACTCAAAACTATGAATCCAAATAAGCCATGATATTTCTTGCATAAATAATGTCCTTTCATAATAAAAACAAATACTGAAAAGAAAAATTGCATCATGAGTATTAACTGTAGATTAGTAATTTTTCAGGAGATATTATTGGTACCTGTTCCCAAAACAAGAATGTCGAGCTGATATGCTAATGTTTACAGCACGAATATTATGCTGAGCCCTTGCACTTTCAGGTAATAAGAAATAACCCTGCAAACAAAATTTTGATAAATAAATTACCAAAATAATACAAAACAAGCTCCAAAACCATGGCACTATTATTCATCACAAGCTTTTGCAGCCAAAACCTGTGCAGTCTGACTCAGAGAAAGCTCAGGAGATAGTGGAAGTACCACGTTCAGAAATTACCTTTTCCATAGTGTATAAATAAGTTGGTTCAAAAGTTTTGCTTCTGTTCTCAAGCCACTGCACTGAGACACATTCAAAACAAATTGTCAATAACAGTTGCATTCAGTTCTCACAAGTTCAAGAAAGGCTGTTGAAAAACTGATTATACTGAACAAAAGATCCAGTACAATCTTAACTGCGGAATTTTGATAACGTATGTTTACAGTAACTTGGTTACAACGGATATAAAGTAACAATAAATAGAAACATCTGTTCGGCTACCGTGTTTCTTTTTCTTTGTTTTTGGGATAGAAAAAAATAAGCTCATAGAAAAGCATATAGAAATACAACAGGAGATGAGTATCATTGTGATCATTTCATAAAGAGTTTTTTTTTTTATTAAAAACCTTTTTCAAATTTTATTTCCATAACCTATATTTTCAACCCGAGAAGGGTAATTATGTTGTTCACTATTTAGCTTTAGGACTCTGTACTTTTACATAAATATGCACATAAGAAATTTTCATGACATCTATAAGATATAATAAGATTTGGTACTATGGCAACTAGAAGCTCCTCCAAAGGTTTGTCTTTCAATATCAAAAACGACATCCTCAATATAGTACAACAATTACATGCTCATGGGTCATAATATCCAGAGAACTCGCTATCAATGATTATTTCCTGCCTTTTCTTTGTATCAAATTAAGCATTTGCAAACAAGTAATTGAAAAAACATTAGAATTAAATATTTCATATCAGGAAATGTCATTAAAATTCAATCCAACAAAAGCAAAGAGATTTTTTTTTCTTACTATTGACAAAGAGGCCAAATAAAAGGAGGAAAAAACAAACAAAGTGGAAAAATGTTATGTGCTCCTTTAATCACCAAACAATAAATTCAGTTTCACAATCTTACCTTTTTTTTTTCCCGGATTAAAAAAGTAATTAAAAAAATGACATGTTGCTTTGAAAACCAAAATGATGATAAGCAAAGAACAATTAAAAGGATAGTCAGCAACCTGCATACAAGTTAACCCTGTCCAAATGAAGTATGCGCAACCACTTGGGAATATCAAGATCTAAATGTATACCTGCAATGCTCTGCAATTCAAAAATAAAAATCAGCAAATAAAAGAATGTTCATGGCAAGCATGTACTTTCCATTTGAGAGAGAGAGAGAGAGAGAGAGAGAGAGAGAGAGGGGCTGATTTGAAATCCTTAGGGGGCAGTAAAACCAAGGCAGAAAGAGACATGCACATGACATTTTCAGCAATGATGATTTTCGAAATGGACCAGATGAAATGCAGGTAAATGGACCTTGAAACACAACTTATTGCATATCCAGGAGCAATGTCAGCAGTAATTTCAATATTAAAGGATGCCAATGAAATTTGCTCACCCACAAATTTCCGATGATATGTGTTCCATGTTTCCGAAACACTGACAAGAGGCGGGGACGCATTTGCCATAGTTTGATAAAGTTAATAAGTGCTGCTTTAACTGTCTCTTTCACAGACAAATGAAAATTACTACGGGCCTCCTTGATTTCATTTTTGCTAACTGCATCATCAACTGTTGGCATAGTGTTGGGGCTATTGGTAGAGCTATCTGCCGGATGATCCAGAACTTCAGAATCAGACTTCAATGCCAATTTCCCCCTCCTAGCACCAGAACCAATTTAATTCAACCAAATTTTTGCAGCATAAGATGTCAATCCATCTACATCTATGTTAGCAAATTCTAATTTATACATTACAAATTTTGTGTCTGGGACATCATCTATCGCGTTGGTGAACTCTGACTCATTCTGCGACCACAATCCTGCACTGGTTATCTAAGTGAAAGGGATAAAGTCAGCATTTTAGACATGACCAGACCAAGATAACAAACAAACTCAAGTTGCCTGTAATGCGCAACCCAAATCCAGGAAAGAAAACAGACTTTTAAAGCAAAAAAAGAAATTAAAAATCAAGTACATCTGAATTTTCGAAAGAAAAAAAAAACAACTTTGGTTATAAAATTTGAACACAAATCCAGCAATGAAACTATAAGTTAAGCGTTTGCACTATATTCAAAAACAGTATTATTATGTTTAAAAGAATATGCAAGCTTACCATTTATTGTTATTAACCTATAAACTTGAATCAAAAGCATCATGATGATCTTCTACCAGATTTGTGAGACAATACAAAAATGAATAAGTGAATAAGTAATCAAAAAGCTCAAGAAATAGAAGACATGATATACCTTAATTTGAATAATTTGTGCTTCTGTTGTTTCAACCCCAGAAAGCTCACTTGAACAGCCAGGCTTCCAGTGCAAGGGAATCAAAGTTAATCAAGGGATCGCAAGATATCGAGGAAGGTAAAAAATCAACGACGAAAAATACAAAGCATGCATGTGTGTGGAGCACACTGAAAAAATTATCTAACAGTATCAAAATAAACCAATTATCTAAGCATTTCCATGCAATTTAAAATTATGATAACTGAGAAAAGGGGAAAGCATAAATAGTCAATAATTGCATATATGTCCTCCGCAAGTAAAAGCATCAAAATAGGTTTGATGGGAGATAGTTTACATGGAATTGATTCACAAAATACAAGTTTTATCCACGCTCATGTCCCTCTGTGACATGCTATAAAAAAAACACAAAAAATCATAAATTGAAAAGAAAGTGGAAGAAAAACCTGTTGAACATAATTGGCATGCATAACAACGAGAATACAGAACAACGTGATGGCTATGAAGAGGTATATGTACTCCAAAGCAGCTCTGACTTTAGGAGTAAGGATCTGCGAGAACCGCTCTTGTACTCGTATGAAGGTCTGCTCCGGATCCATGTCCTTTTCTTTTCTATGCCTTTCTTTTTTGTTTTAATCTTTTCCACTATTTCATAGACATTGCTGGAAGCAGGATTGAAAATGGGCTGGGCTCAGCTTACATACCAAGTTTTTTCCCAAGTGAAAAAGATTTATCGAAACTTTAGCAGAGCTTCCGCTATTTCTTTAGAATTTCCCAATTTCTGCAAATCCTGTTAAAATCATACAAATGAACTAAATAAAATGATCCTAAACAAAACTCGACAATACGATTGAATTTCATAGATAAAACAGCTGCATATATACTATTATCAGAACCTTTGAATATAAAAACATAATCAAACTAGTTGTGAGTTTTGCCGAGAATTGATTGGATCTTTCATGGTGTTTTTCCATTAGTGCTTTTCGTATTAGTTCGATCATTTATTGTTTATTCTTTAGGTGTGTCAGGTGGAAGCTCAAATGAACATTTAGAACAAATGAAGGGTAAAATAGTCAGTTCATAAAAACTTGTAAGTGAACTTGAGTATAAGTATACATGGAATGCTCAAATCAAAACTGTTTATCCATATGCATAGTTAAGTTGGGGTTAACGTTTTTATATTCAAAGGCTCTGTAAATTTTGTTTGGTTTCTCTTAAAAATCTGATCTTTAAACGCATTGTGATCCCCCATTTGAGCTTTAATTTGACTGAGATAGTATGAGAGAAATTGAGCAATAAAGGAGGATATGATTCTCACAATAATGAATAATCACAACCTAGAAATTAGGATATGACACTTAGAACAACCACAGCACCCTCAATTAAACGAAATCCCCAAAATCATACAATCACAACCACAATTTCAGCAAAATATCATAAACATTAAAGCACTAATTTCAACAAAATCCCCAATAATCACAATCCAACCCTAATTTAAGCTCCGGAACCTATATTGAATGTCAGACTAAAAGAAAAGCACCTGGTGGAGTGGTGATGGTTCTTGGAATTTGGACAACAAGTGAACCAGAACAACAAAGTGAAACAATGGAGGAACTTGGCTGAGCAGAAGAGATGGAAGTCTGAAGGTCCTTTTCGTTCAACGTGGTCCCTGCTTGCTTGCTGAGCTAAAAGTCTAAAGACATTTGGGGAGGCCTTTTGTTAAGGCTTGGGCCTATGATGGGTTTGGGCTTGTAACCAAGAGTTGAACAGCTCCTTACTTTGAGTTTGAGTTTGAGTTGAGAGTTGAGAGTTGAGTGAGTCAACGGCTAGTGGTCGGGCAAAGCGCGCGCGGTGGCAACTTTGTTTAGTCGGTTGGGTCCATCTTGGATGGCCGTGGAAGTGAGTGGTTAATAATTCAATGGATTATTATGCAAAGCAAAATCCAAAACACACATGTGACAATTATTTATTATAATAATCAAATACAGTCGATCATATGTTTAGCTGATTATTTATTGGATTGGATTTATTTATAATCCCACCGCCCCACCGCCATTATTATTTTTCCTTGTACCGTCATGCCGTTGGCCCCCTCTAATTAATAATTATAAAATGAAATCCTTCCTATCCATTAAACTCCGGTCCCAAAATGAAATCTTTAAATGCAAAGGGGGTATGGGTTTTAAGAAGACTACTGCCATGAACCAAGCTATGTTGGCGAAAATTGGATGGAGATTGCATAGCAAGGATAAGGGCTTGTGGGCAAAAATTTTTGAAACGAAGTATATGCAGGGGTCTACTATTCTTGACCCTTCTTTAAGATCTAAGCAAGGCTGCTCCAGCACTTGGAGAAGTATCCTCCATGGGTCTACTTTACTATCCCAAGGATTAGCCTGGAGAATAGGAAAAGGGGATTCTACTCATTTCTGGACAGATAAGTGGGTCACTGATGAGCCTTTGGCTCAACAAGAGGGGGTGCCGCAGTTGACTGATTTGAATTGTGTTGTTTCTGATTTCTCTAAGAATGGTTGGTGGGATATCAACAAATTACGTTCTGTTCTCCATGATGATCTTGTTCAGAAAATTCTTAATGTGCCTGTTGGTTTCATGGGTTCCCTCCCTGATTCTCATATTTGGAGGCCTTCTCCTAATGGTATTTTCTCAGTCAAAACTGCCTATGGGTTATTCTTTGAAGGTCCTTGGTGGCCTGACTACGATTGGAAATTTATATGGAGCCTCAGAATCCCTCCTAAACTTCATTTTTTCTTGTGGTTGACTGCCCAAGGAAAACTCCTTACTAATGAACAGAGAGCTAAAAGAAACCTTGCTGAGGATTCGGCCTGTACTGTCTGTGACTATCCTGCTGAGTCTATTTTGCACATTTTTCGTGACTGTAACCGAGCCAGAGATGTCTGGAAGGATCTGCTGACCTCTCTTCCCAACTCTTCTTTCTTTCAGATGGACTTCAAACCTTGGCTCAAGGCTAATTTAATGTCAAAGATTAAGTGGCAGGCTGATATCCCTTGGTTTTTGGTGTTTGTTGCTACTTGTTGGCATTTGTGGAAGTGGAGGAACAAATTTATTTTTCAACCTGAGGAGGAGGTGCGTGTTAATCACAGACACGACATCTTGGTTGCTGCCCATGAATGGTTCATGGCCTCTAAAAATTTGCATAAAGCCAGTGCTAAGATCCAGGTTCCCCTAGCTTGGGTGCCACCTAGTCCTGGGCAGTATAAGCTGAATGTGGATGGAACCAGGAAAAGTGCTTCTGGATGCATTGGTGCGGGGGGAGTTATTCGTGATTCCTTTGGGGATTGGACTTGTGGGTTTGCTGCTAACTTGGGCAGAGGTCAGATCCTTGAGGCTGAAATGTGGGGCTTGTTTTTTGGGTTAAAGCTTGCTAAGGACAGAGGCATTTGCAATCTGTTGGTGGAAATGGACTCTGCAGTGGCTGTTAAGTTAGTGAAGAATTCTACTACTCTTGGTTTACATCCTGTGGCTTCTCTGGCTTCTTGTTGCTGGGAGCTTATGGGAAAGTTTGAGACTTGTGCGCTCCAACACATTTATAGAGAAAGAAATGTGGTTGCTGACTGTATTGCGCAATGGAGCTACAATATGGACTTAGGTGTTTGCCTTTTTGATATGGCCCCTAGTTGGGTTGGTGCTAGCCTTGTTGATGATCTGACTGGAGTCACTAGGACTCGGCTAGTCTGTAGTGAGTAGTTGCTGTTTGTCTTTGGGGTTCTACCCCCCAGTTCACCAAAAAAAAAAAGCATCTTTGAATTATGAGTTAAAATTAGGGCTACAAACAACAACAATATTAATGATAGGGATCGATCGGCAAAAACAAACATATAAGAATGGACAAATGGATTCACAAGCAGGAGTAACTAGCGCAGAATAATAATAATAAAATCAAATAAGAACAAGTAGACACCAAGGCCCACGCCGTTAATGAAAACAAACACATAAAATTTTACTATTGTTGTTTTTTTTAAGGGAGTTTCACTAAAACACCCAAAATAGGGGCTGAAATTATAAAAAAACCCAACACCCAACACCCAAAACACTTTATAAACACACCCAAAATCCATCATTACACACACTCAAAACCCATTTATAAACACACCCAAAAAATATACAATTGTTGATTTTGGGTGTGTTTCTATGTTTAAATAGTGTGTGGGTTTTTTTATAAATACATGTCTAGGATTGGGTTTATTTATAATAATCTATTTTTTTTATACGAGCAATATTCTATTTTAAACTAATCTAAATTATGAGGAGGGGGATTCAAATTTGGATGCAGAGTAGCATCACATTCGCTCTAGCCCACTTAATTAAGCCCATCTCTACTATTACTGTTGTTTTAGGAATAATATAATTATAATATTATAAAATATTATCACTAAGAAATTTATGAAATATACTTGTTTGGGTGTAGAAATTCTTACTTTTTTGTCAATGAACATGTATCAATAATTTTTTTAAATACTTTTAATAAGTTTGGTTTATAAATGAGAAATGTCAAGCAATAAATGTATAATGAGTAATGACTTTGTTGCACTAGATTTTTAAATAGATTGTTACATCCTCTAGAAGCTTAGTGGGGAATGGATGGTTCTAGATTGACTAAAATGCCAATATGTATGTAACGTGATATGCCCATTGATGACTGGCACACCTTCCATGACTCTTCTCCCTACCCTTCCCCACCCCCCCTTCTTTTGTGCGTGTGCTTTTGCTAAGACATACCGAGACAGTCCACCTTGTACGACTCCGCTTGTCAAGAAAATTTATTATTGTTTTTCATTTTCATTTTCACTTTTACATAATTATAGAATATAAATGTGTAGTATTGATGGCTTTCAAATGCAAATTTTTAGTATTAATCAAAACAAACTATAGATTTTATTATTCATGTACAAATGCAATATCTGACAAAATTTCCAGGCCCAGCAAATAAATGTTTTCACTTAGATTTTTATTTTTGTTGATATTTTATAATCTATTGTCACTTTGTTGGGAATTGTGTGAATCGATAGTGGATAGCAGTTACAAATGTTGTGGGTGATAATCTCACATCAAAAAAATAACACAATAGTCTACAATATAAGTGTAGACGGTTCTTTCGAAATTTGTTGCATAAATAATGGTATCAGATTCATACAAAAATATGATTGGGGAATCTAAACGAGGTGAAATATATCGATATGAGCTGAAACATATTGAGAGATTTTATTTTTATTTTTAAATATACAAGTGATATTAGGGGAACAGAAAATTCAAATGTACTTGTTGAATTTTAAACTTTAGTATAACATATATATATATATATGGGATAGTTAATAGTGGGCATCTTCCCTCATTTAACGGTGGACAATGAGCGGAATGGCACAGATTGTAAGTTGTACGCACAACGAGTGACGACGCAACAGCAAACAGGAAGAGCCCCCTCTCCCTCCCCCCAAACCTGACGACGCAACAGCAAACAGGAGAGAGAGTGACGACGCAAGCGCAACATCTTCCCTCATCTTCCCTCTTTCGCTTTCTTTTCACTCTCACTTTTCTTGCATTGTTTTGATTTTCTCTCATTTTTGGTTAGAATTAGAAGCTACGAAAGCAAGCGAAGGTTCTGACTTTTCACCCACGCGCTCTTCTTCCTTTCTTTATCTTTTAATTATAAAAAAACCCAAATTTATTCAAATTTGTTAAATACCCAAATACCAAAACAGAAGTCATAAACAGGAGGGCAGGAGAGAGAGGGAGAGGGGGAGAGAGAGAGAGCGAGTAAAGCGGAGCAGAAAGAAGCTCCACCTGGCGATCTGAGACACGTAGTTGATTGCAGCAGGCATTTGGAGACTGTTTGTGTCACAGGCGGCCGACTCTCTGCTCGCCACGACAAACTCTCAATCGCCTTACATCCTCACACACACAAAAGACTCTCAACTCAACAGACCCACCAAGCCACCAATCCATCCAATCCAATCAAATTCAATCAAATCAAATATCAATTTCAAAATCTTTGCTTTTCGAATCCCCAAAGTAATTGGATTCGGTGGAGCTCCAGCTCCTGCGGCTTCTTCTGCCTATTCAAATTTAAGATCTTGGCTGTGAAGAAAGCTCAAAGAAAGCTTCAAAGCTATTTGCTTGCTTGCTTGCCCTTTCGTGTACACTTATATTCGGGCTTTGCCGTTTTCTGGAGGTGGAAGGAAGGTCTCTGGGTCTTCCTTGTAATCGAATTTGGACGGCTTAATTTGGAGATATATTTTAACTGGAAATTCAGATAGTTTTTTTGTTTGTTGGGCTAGTGAATAGCTAAGAATTAGTCGACATGGTCAGTGGGAATTTGTTCCATTGTAGAAAGAATTCATGGCCGCCTGAGGAGTATATCAACAGAAACACTTTGCAGTTGGTATGCTTCTTCTTCTACTTCATTCTCTCTCTATCTTTCTCAAAACATTTGTGTTATTCGTTTGGGCTATGCTTGGTTGCCGAGAAAATGTAAGAGATGGGAGGAAAAGTAAAGAACTTACAGTTCTGATCAAGTCTAGAATTTGATCAACAAAGCCAGAGGGCATAGCTATACGCTTGTTCTCACTATTGAAGCCCAAATAAAATTGAAGTGCCTTTTAATTGTCTGGTCTTCAT